ACAAGCAATTTCTGTGCTTTGTGTTTATGAAGACTTGCTCTATTGCTGATTTCATCACCATGTCTTGGTCTGTGATGATCGTTTGAGGATGTTTTCCTCCCATTGCTTCAAGGAAAGTTTGAAATACCCACTTAAAAGTGTCCACTGTCTCATCATGCAAGAAAGCACATCCGAAAAGGCAACTTTGCCCACGTCCTGTGATTCCAACAAATGGTGCAAAAGGTAAGTTGTATCGATTAGTCATATATGTTGTGTCAAAACTTACACATTCTCCATAATCTGCATAATATTTCATAGAAGAACCGTCTGTCCAGAACAAGTTTCTCACTCTCTTGTCCTCATCTAAATTAAACTTGTAAAAGAAAGACGGATCCTCAATTTGTTTCTTTCTAAAATAATCCAATACTTGTGTCATATCTGATCCTTTAGCTTCTCTGTTCAGCTTTGTCCTATAGTTGCTGATAACTTTCTTTTTCATTGGTAGAGCTGTAAGCCCCCCTCTCAGATACGATAGAATAGAAACCATCCTCCTAGTCGGAATATTGTTATCATTCAGAGTCTTGATAAGTCCTTTTTCCATTTTTGTCATATACTTGTGACCAAAAAATAGCTAATCCCTATCTCCAGGGCATAGCTCATGATTATACTCCAAATCAAGAGTTTTAATCTTCCATACAGCTCCTTCTTCTTTCACCATCATAACACAAGGACAATCTGACTTCTGCTGAACATTTATTTTCCTTCTCCTTACCGGTTTCTTTCCAACATCCTTGTCTACTTCATCTTCTTCTTACTCTAAAGACTTTTGTTCCTTTTCTTTTCCTTGACGATTACATCTCATTGTCACTTTGACTACCTCATTATTTCTCTTCTTACTTTGAGTTCATGCCTAGTCTTAAATTCCATCGATAGTTGTGGGGTGTACTTGCTGTTGATTGGTGCATTGTTGCCTTCAGATGCTGCAACCTGCTCATTTTTTATGAATTGTTCAATCTCTTCCTCCGTCAGTTCCTGGCTGCCATTTACATGCTCATTATCATCCGTTATAGCTGATGTAATATCTAAACTTGTTGGTTCTGTTGCTATGATCCTTAAGTCATTTTCTCCCATTGTTGGTTGATCATCTTGATTTTCATGCTACACCTGTAAATATATTAGCAGCAGTCTTAGTTTCTGAGTAATGTCATTTATAATACAAATAATTTTTTTCATTGTGGACTGAAATAGGTGAAGAGATCATTTTTTATGTACCTCATCAATGTTCATGTTATTTAATACATCAGTTTACCAATGGTATTGTTGAATTTCAAATCTATCATCATTAGCTATGCTTGTCGTTGCTCCATCATCATCAGCGACGATTGCCATTTCTCCATCCTATTTTTGAAAAGATAAGTTTTACTTTGATGCCAGTACATATTTGTATTGCTTATAAATGTAATCAAATTGGCTCAGTTATTTGTATCTACCTCATATGACAACCTTGACTCTGATATTGACCAATCAGTTTGTGGTCCAAAGATTCCATCTAGATCTTCAAGGCTCATATTCTGTTTTATTTGTTTGATAATGAGAATGGTTACCATTTATAATATAACACAACTAGTTTAACAAGCATATATAATATAGTTTTACACCATTCCTGTTATTTCCAAGTATCATCTTTGTTAATGATCCTTGCATCTCTTTATGTTGCTGTACGGTTTATAATGAAGCATTGAAATTACAGTCCTGTTATGCTGAATTTACATTGCACATATGTGTGTAATTTGCATATGTCTGAATTGTAATTTTTATATACTGGTATTATAAATTTTACCTGCGTATTCCAGTCAGTCTGATTATCTTCCTAAGAGTTCCTGATCTGTTCCATCATAAGTTCAGTGAAGCCTCCCTGCATTGAAATATATTTTAGTTGACAAACAACCCTTTTATCTTGGCATTTTTGAAACTAAGCAATGATTTGCTCACCTTTTTATATCTATAGGTATTTGAAAGGTCCACATCAGATCCAGTAAGTATTTCTACATCATAATTGGTGTTCCTACTATGCTCATCTCTGTCATTGTAATCGATGTCTGATAGATTTATCAACATAGAATTTGCAAATACATTCTTTCCGCCCTGCATTTATTTGAACATATATACTTCTTGACATATGTCTAGTTGCACTATTTAAATGATTATTTGAAGCAATATTTAATCTAGTACCTGGCTAGTCTGGTACATCAATTCTAGTGCTTCTTGCCACTTTTTTATCCCATCTGCTGTTGTGAGATCAAAGTTTGGCTCTGAGTTTTCACTTGCATGTGTATAAGTATATGGCACCTGCAATAGATGACTTACAATTAGTAATGCTAAATTTAGAAGGATTCACTTGTATTCTAGTATGTCTATGTAAAATAGATTTTCATAAACCAAAACTTAATTATTGACATTTATATTACCTGCAAGTTATGCTCATCCATAGTTTAAGTGATCTGTATTACTTCCTACTGTTGTCTCAATTTTGCCCTATTGTATACCTACATTTAGAAATAAATGATATGTCATTAGGAGAAAGTTGGAGCATCATAAAGAATCAGTATGCAGTTTTAGTATCCTGCTTGAATCTATACTCTTATTATGTTGAAATCTTGGTTCTGATATTTACATACTCATATTATTGTAAAATAGTGTTGGTGATGCAGACAGCTAAGCAATAGTTGGAGCATCAATTATGTGCAGGTATGTGTCATCAAGGTTTTTGGTCATGCTTGTGTGGTTGTTGAGCAGTTTGTCATTCTCTCTATTTACACATTCATGAGCTCCACCATACTGTATATGTATTGACATACATTTACAGTTTAATTGCATTAAGAACACATACTATTTGCACTATATGAAATGTGCAATTTTTATATTTATGTTTTGTAATTTCATCAATATAATGCATTACACTTAATTTGCATCTAAGATTCTGCAAAAGCTAGCAGGATCTGAAATAGTTGGGTGCTCTAATTGCAAAAGCTAGCAGCATCTAAAATAGTTGGATTGCTGATATACGCTGCTCTTATCTCATGCTCTCTGTTGTGTCATACAATGTAGGAAATTAGCAAGATCTGAAATAGGCTTGTTTGTAGCCTTTAGACCACAATTACAACCCTCCAAGTGCTGGATCTGCTCCTTGTGCAAAGTTAGCAACCAGGGCCACACCCTGCTGTTGGAGCAAGCACAAGCAGCAGGCCATCATAGCCATCCTAAATGTGTAAGGTCTCATGATTACATATTCCATGGATCTGGTTCTCCTAGTCTTTCTCATCTGATCTGTTAATTTCTTCGTTTTTGCTTCTTCAGAGAAATTGGAATACCAGAAAATTAGATTCAAAAGATTGGTCTACTAACCTTGGCTGATGAGGTATGAATCAAACTTATAGTGCTTGTTCTTCAAATTTCTTGTTGTTCTTGTTTGCAATCATATTTCTGCCCCTTTCCCATGCTCCGCGTGAGCAGAGCAGAGCCTTTTCCATGCAGAGCATATCTGTTTTCTTTGTTTTCTTCTTTCCCAAGTATATCTAATATATTCCTATCGATTTTTGCTTTTGGGCTTTCATTATGGGCTCCGTAGTTATTGGACTCTACTATTTTACTCTCAACTGCAGAGAAATTGAACATAGATCTGCTCTGCGTGGGCCTTCTTTTGCTATTACAAAACAGCCATTGGATTTACATCTAAAGGTGGAACAATTCATGTGCTACAGGTACCTAAAACACACGGATTTATCTCTGAATAAAATCGAGTGTTCTAGGGCCAGCAAACAACCGAGTGCTGGCTTCTGCTAAAACACACAGATTTGTCTCTGTTGGAAATCATGTGTTTTACTTGCAGCCAACAACCGTGCTGGCTTCTGCTAAAACATACGGCTGTCCAGTATACAGACTCTTCTGAATAAACTACGGATTAAAAAGATGCCTTATTGTTGGTGAAATCACCAGGTTCTGGCTATATAAAAGGCCACCTGGGCAAAGAAACCAGCTATGATCATTCAGTTCAGTAGCAAGCTAGCTAGCCAGCCAGGGGAAGCGTTGCGCTGTTGTGATATGGCTCACGCTCATGGCCACTACGAGGAGCTGCTGCCGGCGAAGTCTCCTCCACAGGTGTCCCTGGTAGGGATGAAAACGGTACGAATATTTTCCGACCGTATTCGAGTCCGAATCCGTTTAGAGGGGTTCAGATCTGTCCGTATCCGAGTCCGGATATTCAACATCCGATACCGTATTCGTATCCGAATACTCAAATCACATATTTATAATGTCGACATCTAATCGTATCCTATCCGGCATGGCTGATACTATCCGTATTCGAATCCGAATCCGACAAGAAATGTGAAAACAAATATAATATCAGTGATATCCGTTCGTATCCGATCCGTTTTCATCCCTAGTCCCTAGTGCTCTCTGCCCTGCTCGTCTGTCCTCTTCTCGTCCTCCTCGTGCGCCGCTGCTTTGGAACGACGACGCCGTCGACGGCCACGGCAAGAGCCAGAGAACAGCTGCTGAGCAAGATGCCTTCGCCTCCAAGCAGGCTACCCATCATCGGCCACCTGCACCTTGTTGGCCCCCTACCACACATCTCTCTCCGTGACCTCTCTGCCAAGCATGGCCGTGATGGCCTCATGCTCCTCCACCTCGGTGCCGTCCCTACGCTCATCGTCTCCTCGCCGAGCGCCGCGCAGGCCGTGCTCCGCACGAAAGACCACATCTTCGCGTCCAGGGCCTACTCCCCAGTCATCGACATCCTCTTCTACGGCTCCACGGCCGTCGCCTTCTCCCTGTACTGTGAGCACTGGCGCCAGGTCAAGAAGATTGCCACCACGCACCTCCTCACAAACAAGAAGGTCCGGTCCTACTGCCATGCACGCGAGCATGAGGTAATTAATAACCATGCGTCAATTTCAGCAATCACTAATATATTGTTCCATGAACGAAGATGATTATTGCCAGAAAATAACTCACAACAGGTGAGGATGGTGGTGGCTAAGATCCGCGAGGCGGCCACCGCAGGCACCGCTATCGACCTGAGTGAACTGCTCAACGCCTTCGCCAACGACATCGTGTGTCACGCTATGTCTGGCAAGTTCTTCAGAGAGGAAGGCCGGTACAAACTTTTCCGGGAGCTCGTCGAGGCGAACTCGTCACTCATAGGAGGTTTCAACCTAGAGGACTACTTCCCGGTGCTGGTGAAGCTGGACATCATCAAGAGGATGATGTGTGCAAAGGCACAAAAGGTGAACAAGATGTGGGACGACTTGCTCAATACGCTCATCGATGACCATGCAAGCAAGCCAGCGTCAGAGCGTGACGGGGAGGAGAGTGACTTCATCGATGTCTTACTCTCCCTTCAACAAGAGTACAACCTCACGAGAGATCACATTAAGGCGCAGCTGGTGGTATATGTGGATATGACCTAACCCACAACTATTATATACATTATAAACAATCATATATATGTTGTCGATTCTTATATATGTATCCATATGTATGTAGGTAATGTTTGAAGCTGGCACAGATACATCATTCATAGTTCTAGAATATGCGATGGCTCAGCTCATGCAAAACCCCTGCCTCATGAAGAAGCTACAAACCGAGGTGAAAGCACTATAGCCAAGGAAAAAGAAATAGTTACCAAAGACGAGCTTAACAGTTTAGCCTACCTAAACGCAGTCATCAAAGAGACACTCCGACTCCATATGCTGGCACCCCTCCTTTTGCCCCACCTCTCCATGGCCGATTGCAACATAGAAGGATACACGATACCATCGGGAACACGTGCCATTGTTAATAGCTGGGCTCCTGCAAGGGATCCTAGCTATTGGGAGAAAGCGGACGAGTTCATGCCTGAGCAGTTCATGGAAGGAGGTAGCGCCGCAGCTATGGACAATAAGGGAAACGATTTTCAATACTTGCCATTTGGGGCAGAGCGAAGGATATGCCCAGAGGTATAAACTTTGCAAGTTCAACTATGGAAGTCATGCTCGCAAACCTTGTCTACCACTTCAATTGGGAGCTACCTATGGAATGGCGAAGAAAGGCATCGATATGACCAAATCATTTGGGCTAACAGTGCATCGTACGAAGAAACTCCTCCTTGTTCCTATAGTTCCATAAGATTAAGGCATTAGTCTATAGAGTCCTTTATGTACGCAATAGATCAAGGACTTGACTATGCACTACCTATCCTAATTGCATCATACTTGTGGGATTTCGACTTGTTGTTAAGCATGTATACTGAATAAAAAAAGCATGCATTGCACATTACTACAGGAAACATTTTCGGATACAGGCATTTTCTATTAATAGAGGCGGACAGCACATCGCCTCTAGTAATTGATCACTGTTAATCGCCCACTTCCAGAGGTGGGCACGCAACCAACTCTGTAAATCGATAAACAGATGTCCGCCTCTGTTAATGTCATTTAACACACTGTTTAGCCAAAACACCTCCCTAACACAATACCACACACTCATTTATGACTATATATAGGATGTTATCTATTTGTATTCACATTTCGTAATCTTATATTAAATAGTTTGGCTACTAAATAAATACAGATCAAAAAAGTTTCAACTAGAAAGTTTTAAAATTTTTCAAGCACTACAACTTTAGTATAAGATTTGTCTCCAACAGAGATTGTTTGAAAAAAAATCAATATTTTGAATCTCAAAATATGTTAACTTAAAATAAATATTTAAGACACTAAAAAACTTCAAATTAAAAACCTATGAACATCAAGCATGTAGATCAGGTCAGCCACTACAACGTTGGTACTCCCTCCATTCCAAATACAAGATGTTTTGGCTTTTCTAAATACATAGTTTTTGCAGTGCACTTAGATATGCACTATATCTAGATACAAAGTAAAAATAATATATCTAGAAAACAAATGCATCTTATAAATTGAAATGGATGGAGTATTAACTATGTAAACATTCAAGGTTGTTTAGAAATTATAAAACTTGAATTTTAAAATCTATGAATTTAGAAGACATATTTGGGACTCTAAATGACTTCAAATAAAATAGTCATCTATAAAGTTATAGACTGTATTGAAAACTAGAACTTCGGTCTAGACCATATCAGCATATGAGGTTGTTTGAAAATTTTAAATTTTAAATTTAAATTTTTCAAAACTTAAAACAATATTTTGGGACTCTAAACAGTTTCAAATCACTGTTTAGAGTCCCAAAATATGTTTAGTCCCAAAACTTCTAAACTTTGTAGTTTAATAAGCTTTTGATTTGGGACTCTATGCGACCTCAACTTTGTAGTTGATAAGTTTTTGATTTAGAACTGTTTAGAGACCAAAAATATTTTTTAAGTTCATGGATTTCCAAACTAAAAATTTTCAAAACAACCTCAAATAATGTTGAGGTGATCTATACCAAAGTTGTAGTTCTCAATAAAATCTACAACTTTTTATTTAAAAGTTTTTTATTTGGGATCGTTTAGAGTCCTAAATATATTTTCCAAGTTCATAAATTTTGAAATTAAGGTGTATCTACACTGATGGTTCATAGCCATAGGCCCAACATATATGTTTGTACTAGCGTCTACTCTTTATGAACCCCACAAATATATGTTTGTATTAGCGTCTACTCTTTATGAACCGCCTGTGAAAAAAAAACTTAGGTGTTAGCAAAAACCGTTTCTATATTAGTATTAGTTAATCTCTCTCAACCCTTTAAATATGCTCGTAGAGGTAAAGTGTGTGTATGTGCGTTCACAGAGGATAGGGACGAGTGTGGTCATCTACGGTGTGATTAGAAAGAGAGAGAGAAAAGACCACAACTTTTTTATCCGAAGCACCTGCAAACATGCCCCGGGCAATCCCGATGCGATTACTAGATTCTAAGCGCCAGCAGCTAGCAAACAGCATGCCCCGATGTGATTGATTTTGGACAGCGATACGATCTCCAAAGTATAACTTTAACTTCTTATTTCTATAAAAATATTTATTGAAAAGTGATATATGTATATTTTTATAAAAATATTTTTTAAGATAAATCTATTCATATGGTTTTTATATTTTCAAACTCAATATCTTAATAGTTATTTATGATTTATATTCCTAATAACTCAAGCATTGTCAAAAATGACTTCCTTTACCGAGGACTAGAAGGGAGTACATCTGTTTGTCAGTTTGTGCAAAGACGCACGTACTATAAATAAACTTACTTGCGCTATACTAGTCCGGCTGCTTCAATCAACTTTATAATGTACTTACAGTAACTCCATCGGTCAAATCGGCCTGCCACTGTCGTTTGATTGCTGCTTTTTCGTCGTCAGTCGTCACTGATATATGAAGTTCCAGGTACAAGCATGCGCATACATGGTACATGCATTATACTTATATATGATGATATTTTTTTGTCTATTTGTGAAACTATATAGATCGATCGATATGATTACCTTTTATCCATTAATTGTGAAACGATATAGATCGGTCGATATGATTAAGTTTTGTCTATTTGCCAAACGATATGGGTGGATGAGGGCAATCACAATGCAGACTCTACCATAGAGTCTAAGTCTATTTATTACTCTCTTATTTATTATATTTTGTTGATGTGGCAGTCTATTTATTGAAGAGAGAGGAAGAAAAAACTAGACTCCAAGTCTTATTTAGACTCCAAGTCTATGATATCTTCGAGATAATAAATGACTTAGACTCTATGGTAGAGTCTGCATTGTGAGTGCCCTGATAACGAGTATAGAAAGTCAACGACACTGGCGCCTTGGAAAACTTAATAGTAACATCAATTATTGCCTTAGTGAATGTCAATATCATTATTTCGTCAGAGAAGAATGATATGTTGACTTCGTACTCCCTCAGTCTCTAAATAAATAGATTTCTAGAGTTGTTTTAAGTTTTAAGTTAATTTTTTTAAATTTTGACCGAATTTTTAGAAAAAAAAAACATTAAGAGGTATTGAATTAGTATCACTGGATTTTCCATAGAATATATATTTTCATAATGTGCTCATTTTATGTGTTATTACTCTTTTCTATAAAGTTATTTAAACTTAAAAAAACTTGACTGGCACATATTCTAGAAATTGATTTATTTAGGAACGGAGAGAGTAATGTATATCTATGGTTAATAATTCTTGGCTACTACTCCCTCCGTTCCCATATACCAGGCGTGTGCTAGTTTTTTTGTTTTGGCCACAATAGGAGGCGCATTGGAGTATCAATGGTGCAATTAATTACTTCTGTTGGCTAATGTGGCAATTAATAACTCAAAATGGAGCGTTGCATGTATACGTGGCCAGCCTCCATTCATCGCACGCACTAGTTTGGCCGCATGAGAGCAAGGCTAATAATACGATCGGCTTCGTGCCAGTCTTAATGATGGGTTTCATTTCTCAGTTACCAAGACTGTCACGACTAGGGATGACAAATGAAACTATCTCTCTCATTGGGAAGTTTCATTTTACTGTTTCCAAGACAAGCTGCAGAGTTAACATGTGCATGAAGTTGTGATCCTATGTACCACGTAAACTATGTAGCCATTCGTAAATATATCTTAAACTAAATATAATCTTAACTACAATATATCTATGCAAATAATAATCATATAAAATAAAATATATTAATTAATTCAACGTTCATGAGTGCATACCCATATATTAAAACGACCACATAATTTAAACGGGTTACATTTTATATCTCAAACTCAAGATATATTTTGATGGCGTCCGAACTTGTTCCAAATATGTTCCACCAAATCTTTCTTCAACCGATGATGCGCCGAATGATCCCGAATGTCACTATCTTTCTCTAAAACTCTTTCAAATGTAACATATTGGTCGGGAGAGAATTCCGATTCTTCGACAATCACTGTACTTGGAGCCTCATTAAAATCAAGATTCTCTTCCAGGTCATCTTCCTTTTCATCTTCAACAATCATATTGTGAAGTATGATGCAAGCTAGCACAACATTGTGGAGTTGATTCCGGTCATATAGACGAGCTGGTTGTTTTAAAATGCAAAATCGACGGCGCAATACACCAAAGGCCCGTTCAGTATCCTTCCTTGCTCCTTGTTCTTGTGCATATAACTTATCCTTTTCGGAGATGGGCATTGATATTGACTTCACAAATACAGCCCAATCCGGATATATTACATCAGCAAGATAGTATCCTATGTTGTGTTGATTCCCGTTGACCGTGTATTGGACTCTAGGAGCTTGTCCCTTTAGCTCTTCAATAAATATAGTAGTCTGGTTCAAAACATTGATGTCATTGTTAGAACCTGCGACCCCAAAGAACGCATGCCAAATCCAGAGATCATGTGATGCCACGGCCTCAAGAATTATCGTCGGCACTTTCTGATCACCACGAGTAAATTGCCCCTTCCATGCAGTTGGGCATCTTTCCCAGTGCCAGTGCATACAGTCAATGCTGCCAAACATATCAGGAAATCCTCGTTTCTCGCCAATTTTGAGAAGACGCTCAGTATCCTCCACAGTCGGACGCCTCAAATATCGTTCACCAAATATTGCTATAACGCCTTGCACAAAATTCTTCATTGCCTCCATTGCAGTAGTTTCTCCGATCTTCAGATAATCATCAAGATGATCCACGGCGCTGCCATTAGCTAATTGTCGAATAGCCGCAGTGCATTTTTGCAATGGAGTTAGTCCTTGGCGATTAGTCGCATCCACCCTTGAGTAAAGTAATCTAACCATTGGCATAAAGCCCCGACAATACAAAGAAAAAGGGGTCTAGACATACGAAATCTTCGACGAAAAATATTGGAAGAATAAACAGGATTTTCAAAGAAATAATCATCATTCACCTTCAGGTATGAATTTGTTTTCAGACTAGACATATCAGGCTTTCACACTATAAATATCTGCAATGATGCAGCAGCAGAAACTGAACGGCAGGTTTCAGATAGCGTCACAACTAAGTTTCACACCAGAATTTTCACCAAAATGCCAGATAGCAAGTTTCAGATAATAACTGAGATAGCAGGTTTCAGATAGCAAGTTTCAGATAATAACTGAGATAGCAGGTTTCAGATAATAACTGAGACTAAGTAAAGATAGCAAGTTTCAGATAATAACTGATACTAAGTAAAGATAGCTGAGACTAATGAGTACAGATGACTATTGCAGCTAACTGAGACTATTTCAGATAACTGAGACTAAGTTGCAGATAACTCATGTGGCTTCTTGCTGATTCCCAAACAGCTTCCTTTCCGTCAAAGCCAATGCTTTGATTCGACCTTCCTTCGCTTCGTGAGTCATCTGACTTGTGTCTTGAACCAAGAGCGAAGTATAAGCTTCGAGCAACTTTGCTTCATTTTGCTGTATTGCAGTCTGAAGATTATTTCTAGAGATCTCAAGCTGCGCCTCTGTCACCTTTTCACGCTCCTTCTTACGCTCTTGTGTAATTTCTGCTATCTTGTTTATGCTGTCAGCTAGCATGGAAATACCATCCTTAACTTCTTCAACCTTTCGCTTCCCTTTGCGTTGTGCCTTGGCTGCTTCTCTCCCGATAGGACGTGCTTCCTCCCCATCATCTGTAGCATCGACATCCACTGTCTTGCTTTTCTCTTTCTCCAATTGGGCAGCAGATGCACACCACTTTGGTTCCTTTTTTAGCTTCTTCCACCAATGTTCCAATGCAAAGCGTTTGCCATATTTCTTTTTATACATCTGCTGTGCTTCATCCATCAGCATGTCATCAGAGTATCCACTCTTATTGACCTTACTTACTGAGCTAAAAAAACCATTGAATTCAGTGATCATTCTGTTCAGGCGTGTCCAATGGATCTTCAGTTGGTTAATGTCCCTTTGAAGATGTTCCTGAATGTTCCTGTTAAACTCATTGCTGATCTGACCCCAAAATGTATCACGGCTCTTATCATTCCCATATATCGGGTCTTTAGAAGTGTTCAGCCAAGCACTAGCCTGAAAAAAAAATATCATCATTTCGACATAAGGAAGGGCGGGCCTGGTGCAATCAGTAGAGTCTTACCGTCTGTGACCGGAAGGTCTCGGGTTCGAGTCGCGGTCTCCTCGCATTGCACAAGCGAGGATAAGGCTTGCCACTGACACCTTTCCCCAGACCCCGCACAGAGCGGGAGCTCTCTGAACTAGATACACCATTTTTCGACATAAGAAAGCTGCTTATGCAATAAGAACATAAGAACATGTTATATGTATGTGATTACCAATCTTTCTTCCTCATCAAGTGTCCAATGCCTTTTCTTTGCTGTCCTACTTTCGTCAACAACAACATCCACGCTGACAATGCTGGCTACTGGTGGTGGTGGCGGAGGAGTCCCTTTGGGGTATGGTGGTGGACAGAATGGATTGAAGCCTTGAGTGAGTCCAACAAAGTGAAAATTTTCACCAGTAGATGGAGACGGCACCGGAAATTGATTTTGATTCATAAAATTTACAAATCCACCTTGCGGAAATCCCCTAACATATCAAATGAATCTGATTAAATTGCAGGTACAAGCATATTCTAGTACCAAGTTGCTGAAATGAATAACACCATTGACAGGTCAATAATCTACCAAACACATTCAGAAAGCCGTACTGCACATAATCTACCAAACACACAAATTGCAAAATCCTGTAGGTACAAAATATTCTTGTTTGAGTGGCTCAGCTCACAACACATTTGCAATTCACAAATGCACATGGTTACAGATTCATTCTTCATAAAAAATAACAATGCAGGAACAATATAGGAGAAATTTCACTGCATTCAGAAATTCACATTGTTACAGACTAGAGTGCAACACTTGAAATTCATGCTCTAGGGTTAATTCAACAATAAGGAAGTAGATTACCACATATTTGCAGCCTGATTTCCCTATGGTGAGTGACCTGCTCCACTGCTATCGCCGGATTTGTTAGCCTCTCATTCTCATTATTAATACATGGCTCACTTATCTCTCTCATAAAGTTTATTGATTCTTGTGTCTAAGCCGATTATAAACTTACACCCCGTTTCTCTTCTCTCTCCTCTCATTTCTCCTCCACCTTGTTGCATGCACCAATTCCAGATGCTAAATTAATACTTGTTGCATGCACCAATTCCAGATGCTAAATTAATACTAGCGCGTCCTTCCGTAAAATACGTGAAATACCTTGGTATCTGAAATCAAGCTCCTCGCGCCAGATAAAGCGAAATGGACGGAGTAGTAATTTAACTAACTTCATGAAACGACAAATTTGAAGCCTTTGATACCTTAAGAGCCTCTTTGGCAGGGCTCCTGCAGGGGCTTCAGCTCTGCTCCTGCAGGAGCTATGCCAAACGCCTGTTTTGGAAAGGGCTTCGCATAGGGAGCCGGTTAAGAGCTGGAGCCATTTTTTGCCTGCGCAGCGCAGGAGAAGCTTCAAAAACGAGCTTCGCGCGGCTCCTTGTTGTGGGTTCACGTCGTCTAGTGCGAAGGAGCCGTTTTGCCAAACGTTTTCCAGAACGGGTTCAGCTCCTCCAGAGGAGCCAGAGCCGGAGCCATTTTCAGAGGAGCCAGAGCCCTGTCAAACAGGCCCTAAATATCTGGATGGAGGAAACAGTAGCTAATTAATACCTCTCCTCCCAGGTCCTAGGCATCTAGTCTACCTCTTGTTTCTTTGCTACTTCCTCCATCCCATAATATTTACACATCCGTCATTTGAAATTTTTCCCAAATTAACATGCATGTACAGAGTACAACGGCCCTGTTCGGCTGGCAGAATTTTGGCTGAAACTGACTGAAAAACACTGTTCTGGCTGAATTGTTGTGAAAGAAAAACACTGTTCCGGCTGAAAAATATAGAATAAGCCAGGGCCGTGCATCTCCGTACGTGTTGCCGTGCTGCAGCGTTTACCAGCCACAAGCTCTCATCTCCGTGTGGGTCCAAGAAAATATAAAAACAACTTGTGAAAAAAAAAGGGAAAAAAACTGGGAGGCTCCAGAAGCTCCCGTCCACTCGTTTTCCTCATTCACGCGTTCCTTTGGTCTCATGCTATTGGACTCTACAGGGGTATTTTGGTAATTTAACATGCTCCATTGGTATTCATGCTTGATCCTAGAAATACAATTATTCTGGACGGAGAGAATTTATTTCTTTTCGTCGATCATCTGTTGCCTGATCATACGTGTCGACAGAGCGTTGGGGAATGTCATTTTCATTCTTTTGAATTTTGATACAACACTAATTATTGCCTCAGTGACGTATCATTCTTTTGGCAGAGCGGATGATTGCCTCGTTCGCTTCGCTGAAAAAACAAGTCGAAACATTGTTCCGACTAATTTCGGATAAAAAAATAAGCTAAAAAGTACGAATTATAACACAAGCGAACATGGCCGATATGCATGCTGCCTCTGTGTGTGTGTGTGTATGCAGGGGCCCCAAAATTTTAGTGGGCTCCAATGTTGCATATTTTCCCCGTCCAACCAATGGCGATATATAGCCCAGCCTGTGCCTGCGTCCCTACGGCAAATAACCCAGTCTGCCTGTCGTGTAGACGCGTACGTGCTGTTGAAAGCAAAAGCTAATTACACAGCCATTTACTAGCTGTCTGTAGTGCACTTACAGCTCACCTTGAGGTGCTCCACTGTCATAATCCTACTAGAGATACTGTGGGCTGGGCCGATCAGGGGACATGGGCTGGACCTGGACCAAGAGAAGGTAAGGACTGTGCTCCTTAGTAAGCTAGCTGCGGCTAGAATTCCTGTCCCTTTTCTCCTTCTTCCTTCTATCCATGTATCCAGAACCTTCTAGTGAATTCGAGAGAGTCGATTTGCGCTGCTGTATTTGATTTGTGAGTTGGATTCGATTAAGATCGGTGACATCCACCAATTTGGTGAATCTAAGATAGATCCACCAATTTAGTGAAGCGGATCAACTAGTGGAGCTGGTGGAGCTAGAGGAATTTGGCTAAAAAACTGAATTTGAATCTGAATTTTGTGGTTCTGATGGAGCTGTCCGAAATAAGCCGAGTTAAAGCCACTTTGAATCTTGACCAAAACGTTCAAAGTTAAAAGCCCATCAAGGGGGCTCATAGTTGGGTATCAAGTATAAATATATTGTTTTTTTATTCCAAAAAAGCGTACAAAACTGTGAACAACTGTTCACATTGAGACTCGCATCACATAAATCACAATCACATGACAAAGGAACACACAGAAAATAGTCAGGTTTAGGATTAAGCATGGCAGGTATATCTGTACGGCTAATTACATCAAAAGAAAGTATTGCATCGCTGGCAAAGGAGGCTCCTGGAGAAACTGGAGCTACACAAGCAGAACATGTCTTTCTGCAATGTACTTGAGCGTTACAGCTCTCTTGATTGATGTTATAGGGTCATCTCAGTACAGAGACTATCGCTGCAAAGGTGCCAGCTTCGATGAAGCATTTGGGGTAACCTTCCCCAGAACATTCAAAGCCTTCATCCGCTGCAGCTCTTTCCCTACAAAATTGCATACCGTTATGAAAATCAAAACTTGAACTAGGTTGTGCTAAAGTAAATTGTCAGTATATTCACTAATTCACACAAATAACAAAACAAAGTCACAACGGTTATTTTTTTATTTATTTAGGTGACGGATGTAGTGTAAACATGGATGTTATTCATTTATTTAGGTGCATGGATGTCTATAAATACAAGTACCTTTTGTGGCTGCAACTTGCAAGGTGCTACACAGACAGTGAATCCCTCATGAGATGCTCAAATGGCTTAGACAGGATACAAGGCATTATTCAATCTTGGATACATATGGGATCGGAAGTTTGCAACAATGCAACCCTTTGTGCTTAAACTCTGGATTAGCTCAAGGTACACGCAACAGAAAATGGTAATTGGAGGGAGGCTAGGCAGCGTAGTGTAAAGAATGTATTTCAATGGATGAAGTATATATACAATGGGGAGACATGAGATGCCAGAGCATACATATTCTGCAAGACAAGACAGTCCAAATTGAAACAGACACAACCTTCAATATGTTAAGGAAGCAAGAACGACAGTCATATATCACCTTCCTCCACTAAGAGATGTATTGCCCTTTTCTCCAGCTCAATTGCATGCATGTTTCGCCCAGCAGCCGAAAGGGACCTAAGCTCTGAAATTATTGAGGGAATCAGCATTCTATGAGGAGGAAAAAAACTACAATTATTATAGCGGTGTCAACAAACTTCTTACTTCGCAAATAACCCTCCTGGGTTGAATGATCACAGTTCTCCAAATATGTCTGTAACCGATTAAATCTCTCATTCCAGTATTCTATGCTTGACCATTTCACCTCCTCTTGAATGCCAGTGCTAGAAGCAACTGGTGGCTCAGTTTTCTCTGGCACAAGTTCTGCATTTGTTTTTTCAGGAGATTCGGAAGATACTTGTTGAAGGGTGGGCCTGGTGCAAGCGGTAGAGTCTTACCGCCTGTGACTGGAAGGTCCCGGGTTCGAGTCGCGGTCTCCTCGCATTGCACAGGCGAGGGTAAGGCTTGCCACTAACACCCTTCCCCAAACCCCGCACAGAGCGGGAGCTCTCTGCACTGGGTACGCCCATTCGGAAGATACTTGTTCTACAGATTCAACAACAGGAGATGTCACTTGGGGCTTATTGGCCTCCTCATGTTGAACACCTTGGCGTGCCTCCAACTCTTTTGCTTTGTCTCTTCCATTACCTTTCAACTCCTGAGAAGGGTTCACTTTACTATGCTCAGATTCTACTCTCCTTCGTACATAAACATTATGATACACAGGACCTGAGGAAGTATCGGTCTGCAGCCGTTTGACGCCAATAGCCTTTCCAGGTTCTGCGGTAGGTCCTTTATCTTTTGGCAGAAAAGAAGTTCCTTGAGACATATTTACATTGTTTCACCTTTCTTTGGCGACTCAGTTGTGGCTGTTTTCTTCGCCGGTAATGCTACTTGCTTGTCACTAGATTGCATGGCTCCTCCAGTACATTAATACATTATGTTTATTAATCATAACTAAACCTGCAATGCATAACATGATTACCATCATTAAGACAAACTAGGGCCATGAAAAAATCGGTGAATTGAGATAATGGAGAAAATAGGTAGTAGAAGGAGCCATACTACTTGTACATGGAATAAGGTTCTTACACATCTTTGCTTTCATATGTTTCTTTTCATATGCTAGTGTATTATTTTCTTAGCAATTCATTTAGTTGAACACTTTCAAAGTGATGATGAAAAACAGAACAATTCAAGACCTCCTCCGCTGCACTTGCCTTCGAAACAACTCTGATTCTGTTTCCTAATATGTTGTTCCAATCAATATTTGCGAATTCCAGTCAAACATAAAATGCACAGAATCAGATGTCAAAATTGCCATTTTTTAGTGAGCGAGCAAGGACCAAAAGAACACAAAATTATCCAGAAATAATCTAGTTAACATGTTCCTTTTTACCTTGGATCGTATAGCATGGTTTTAGTTCGATAGAAACAGACAAAAAACTACTAATCAGGCAGTTTTAGAATAAATAAAATATAGTGAATAAATCTTCAATTAAGCAAAGACCAACCAGCTAGAACAAGTAAAACATAAAAAATAAATAGCCATCTTTGTCAGTTTAAAGCATTTAACTATGTAAGATTCCAAACAGCCATTATGCTAACCTGAGTGGTTAGCATTCTTTCTTGACTCTTACATCAAAATAACATTCTGTCAAATTTGGGGTTCTTTCATGAGTACCCTGTTACAGGTTGTGACAACACTAGTCCAAGTAGCCACCCTGCTTATAAGGACATGAAACGTAGCAAAGTAAATATTTTTCTTTTCCAAAACTTCTTGAAACTTCAATGCATCAAGCATAAATGAATTTGCTCCACTGTAATTGCAAAGCAATCAGTGGCGGACTCCTAACTGTGTTTTTATTATTCAAACCATTCAGGTCTCATTCCATATCCAGTATCCACACAAAGCAGCTGCTACCTAAATGTGTATGCTGCATTGAAAACACTAATCAGAACAAAGTAAAACACAAGAACCAAAATATACTCTGATGATTGAATAGTGAAATCGAAGTTGGCATGGTGCACAAAGTGGTTTATTAACAGCTGGCCAGGCACCTTTGCTTTTATCAAGCTGGGTCCATAAATTGTGTGAAAATAGCAAGCTTTTAGTGATTACTACCTCCATTCTTTAATATTTGGCATTTCTATTGACCTAATGACTAATGGCACTGGAGTTAAGAACCTAACAAGCATAATACATGTATACTGCACTTGTAATTGGATCAGATCAGATCGGAAAACAGATAGCTTGGGTCTGGGTGCTCCGTTTCGCACAGCAGGAACGGAAAGGAGCGGGCGTACCTGGTCGGTGCTCGTCGCCGCTCGCCGCCAAAGGTCCCGAAGATGGGGATGCGTAGGGCGGCGGCCCAGTCGGCGGCCGCACGGGAGAGAGAGAGAGAGCGCGCGCGCGCCAGCGGCGAACCGGAGAACGAAAGCTAGATGGCAGGTTAAGGAATTAACAAGGGCTAATTGGCTGCTGCCTTAAAATTATCCAAAAATTAGCTCTAGTGCATATAAATAGGAGAGCTAACATAGAGACTAATTTTTTAGCTAATTCTTCAACTAAAAGTTAACCAACTAGCTAGTCAAAGTCAACCAAAGCTAATTTTAGATAATTTTTAACGCTAACTAGTAGTAACTAGGCATGCGTATCAAACAGGCTTAAGGCGGTTTATTTTTTACATAAAAAAAAAAAAAAAACATAAATAGTTTCTGTATTTCAAGAGGATTTAGACCTGAATACACAAATGTCAATGGACCATAAAACCTCAATATTTGTTTAGGTTTGAACTCAATCTGAATCTAATATTGAGTTTTTTTTTTTTTTTTTTGCCTATGTCTATCATGTTGCGTTGAAAATTTTGAAGTTACTTCCTCTATTTTAAATTATCAGATGTTTTATCTTTTCTAGTAGTAAAAGTAATGCATCTAAAAAAATCAAAACATCTTAGTAATTTGTTTACCCTCCTATCAAAGTGGGTCTAAGATTTTTTAGGTTTTAGATAAAAAGTTCACACCCTTGTTTGGCCTAGCGATTGTTACGGGTCAAAACCAAACCAAACCAAATTGGGACTTTGGGGGCACGTAGCCGAGGGAGGGCCACGCGTGGCTAGGGTTCGGGGCATGCATTCTAGAATTCTATTATGCACTGAGCCGTTTCAACTCTTCATGTACTTTGCTCTTAAACGTGAATAAAGTTTCTATTAGAAAATGTTGATAATTGGAAGGAACTTAGTTTCAACTCCTGCATGTACTTTGCTCTTAACCTTGAATAGAGTTCCTATTAAAAATGTTAATGTGTGATGGAAAGAAACTTAGCACAAGAAGAAGAAACGATTTATAAAAACAGATTGTGGTGAAATAATACGCTGATGAAAAAAATGTACAAATACATGCTTCTACTTCGGCCAACAACGACGACCACTGCGAGGTAGAAGTCGATCAAAGAGTAGCAAACTAGCAACATTCAGCAATAGACAGCTGCGGCATCATTCAGCAACCACCAATCAACCATACACTCGTCAACAGGAGAACATCACATAAAAACATTCAAATGCAAGTAGTACTGTAGTGAGCCAAATACAAGCTCAATAGGAAAGCAAAATTCATGGTTTCAATGCCCCAACTTTCTGCTTACACATGTCAACAGCAGCATTGCTTCTTCTACAATTTTGCCTGTTGCCGGACAATTTAAAACTTTGGATGTCAAGAGCTACCCAACAGTAATTCATGTTGCTCGAATAAGTAGATACACAATTGCAACAGCACATAGGTTACCAGGTGTAGCCCAGATCAGCAAGTTCATAATAGGTCATTGTTCTGAAAATTTATCAACTGACAAAAATACATCAACATAACTGCAAGCATAGTATATCCAGATCTAACGCTACTACAGCATCCTATCCGTTCTCGTTCTCTTCCTCTTCTTAGGCGTCGAATGTCCACCAGCTATTGATTTAGAAAGCTCTTCCATATTCGACATATTGGGCCTCTTTCTATCAGACTCGTCTGAAGTCACAGGATCTGTCTCATTAGTCCTCATCCACCATATCAAGAGCAGGTATACGCCAGAAGCGCCCTCCGTGCCTCGAGCCTCCTGATATGTTCGGAGACCTTATCTCAGCCCTTCTCTTCTTAGGCATCAAATGTTCACCAGTTATTGATTCAAAAAGCTCTCCCATATTCGACATGTTCGGCCTTTTTCTATCAGCCTCCTCTTTCAGGAAACTGAATGCATGGATCAGTTGAAGAGATGTTAGCATGTTTCGATTGCACATTCAGATAGTAAGCAGTATTTTGCTTAAGAAACATAGCAGGCAAGTGGTTTACAGCTAGCTGCCAGAGCAAAGTAGGAATCTAAGAGAAGAAAGAATATGTACCTCTCCTGGATTTTTTTAAATGCTTCCATAGTTGCATAAGGCAGCCCTGTCTTCGGATCACGGTATCTACAGGAAGTAAGCCTCAGATAAGCATAAATGTCCTCAAGAGTCTAGTGTAAACTGCTTATAATACTTAAATTGGTTATGTAGGCATATGTAGTCCTGCCTCAAGTTTACTTCTGCCATAGCATTTCAAAATTCTAAATGAAGAGCACCCTACTACGGCCAGGTAGCTCACTTGAACTTGTTTGCATGGTTAGCGGGAAAATATCTAATACAAATGTCTCTGGTTTTCAGATCATACACGCACTGGTAGTGGTAGGATCTGAGTGATCCAGAACATATAAAACCATACTCAAAGATAATGCAGCTACAAAAACATTAAAGGATGCATGTCTGTCTAATATATATATATATATATATATATATATATATATATATATATATATATATATATATATATATATATATATATATATATATATATAGAGAGAGAGAGAGAGAGAGAGAGAGAGAGAGAATAAAGCAAGGGGGGGGCTCAAATGGAATTCAAGGATCAAAGAAGGGATACCATAAACAGGGGTCACAAAAACATACTTGGCTGGAAGTCCTGTCACGACACAAACAGGTTTCACTGGATCTGTGATAAACAGAAGTATTACGGAAAGACCAAGGCTTGTACAGAAATTTGAATCAAACCTGCTAAGAACACATACATTTTAAAGGAACTGCTAGCAACAAAGAAAATAATATAGTACGGACAAAACTGTGGGACTTACAAGGGGGTGATGTTGTACAAAGTTCAGACCCAAATGTTGCCCCATTTATGAATTCCAGACGTGATTCCCCTAATTGAGCACAATACTGATAATCAAGTAAGGAACTCCTAATTTTCTAAATTCAGAATTCATATGCAAACAAGTGAGTGATGATAATCCAGTAAAGAAGTTACCATCTTTTGAGAAAAAACGAACTGTAGGACCCTCATAAGTGTCCTTATGAACAACAGCTTTTTTCTTCACTTCCTCCTCTCTTGCCAGTACACGTTCTAGATTTCTCATGTTCATGATCTCTGGAAACATAGACAATAAACGAATAAAATGTAAAAGGCACAACACAACCGATGCTGGCAAACTTCATCCATGTATTTCTGGATAAGATAAAAGGGAAACGTAGTCTAAACCTGTTTCAGCTGCTTCCAAAAGCATCTCCTCTTGAGTCATCCGCTTTTCTTCTCCCTCCTTTTTCCTCTTAATTGGCTGGCAAGGTACAGCAGAGAGTAAAAAATAAGCCAACACAAATTACAAAGAATGCCACAGCAACAAACTAATCCAAGTAGCACAAGATTTTGTCCCACACAAGTATATCAAATGCTCAATGGAATTACAACATTTGATACCAGCGGTGGAGAGCTTGCAAACAGGTACATACCTTGGCCGTTGCTTCTTTTTCAGCACGTATCGCTTCTCTTTCGGCTTGTCTCACGATGACCGATGTTCTGGTTGATTTCCGGATGGTCTTCTCAGCCTCCAGTTCATCAGGAACATCTGCTTGTGTGGACGAACTCGGCTTATCAGCAGACTTGTCAGCTTTTGCGTCATCTTCTAGTTTTGGGGTCACCTTCTTCTTCTTGACATTGGTCTTCCTCAGCGTCTTGCCAGGAAACATTAGCCGTTTCTTGATAGGTAATCTGATTGGCAGTTGAGATGGGAGGGGAATTGGTAACAAGTTTACATGATGAAATCTACCAACATGGTTATCAGCAAGGAACATGTGTACCTCTCACGTTCTTCCTTCTCCGGCTCATCGTCAGGTTCAGATTCCTATGCAGATACAGAGATGTTAGATGGGCATACATAAGGCACTCGAACACTCAGTGAGATGCTAAACTAGAAAGAAAGGGAAGAGCTGTGTACACTAATGACAGCCAGGAACATAAATAGAATATGCCAACAGGAGAGGAGGAGGGTGAGAATGAAGGGAACTCACATCTTCACCAAAATCACTGTCGAATTCGTCACCAGCATCCTGCTCTTCCACGTAGTTGTCATCGTTCTCCTCCTGCGAGGAAATGGCAACACATCAGGAACGACAAGTGCAGCACGCTACAACGGTATGTATGTACATGGTAGAAGGAACTCGCAAAACTGCACAAGTCAGAAATGAGAAACCCTAAGCTAATCCCCCAGTAGCTGCGGCAGCGGCACCAATCCAGTGCTGCGAAGAGAAGGGAAAGAAAAGAACGAGTGGGGACCGTCTGCGACCTACATCCTTGAGGGCCTCTTGGTTCCAGAAAGCCTCGTCCTGCTCGACCTCGTCCTCGATGAGCTTGGTTATCCTGAAAAAGAGGAACGATTTCGATCTCTATCAGGAGCAAGCCTCCGGGGGGAAAATAAGCATCGGGGCCGGGGAGGGAGCCTGACCTCTTGCCTCGGGTGGCGCGGGCGGTGCGGTCGAGGAGAACGGGGGGCTCGTCGTCGCCGGCGTCCATGGCGGCTGGTGGGGACAAGCGAGGAGAGGAGAGGAGGCTGCCGGGGCCTGGGAGGGGAGAACGAAAGGAAGGAACTAGCGGCGAGGTGGGCCGGCCCATCCGGCCCGGGTATCAACTTGGCCACTTGGAAAAGTCGCGTGGGCTCTCTCTGGGCCTTAATTCACCACCAATGCTCGATCATGGCGTCTCACAGGTTCAGAGATCTACAAAATATTCAAAATTTTCCTAAAAAAACAAAATATTCAAAATAGTACAGTTGATGATATAGACGGAGTATATAACTAAAAAATTTAGCTTCTGTGTGTTCCGCAACTACAAATTTCAGCAACTACAGCGCTAGTCCGTGAACAAAGACTCCCAACGCATTTTGTATATATAAGCCACAAATTAAACTTATTACTACTAGAGAACAGACTTTAGAACGATGTCCTAATTTGATATTAGCCTCGGCATTTTTTTGTCGCCGGGACTAAAGGACCCTTTAGTTCCGGTTCGTAATACCAACCGGGACTAAAGGTCCCTGCCCAACGGTTGTCCACGTGGCAGAGATCTTTAGTCCCGGCTGGTATTACCAACCGGTTGCCGGGACTAAAGGTTTTAGTCTCGGTTTGGGTGATACCTCGGGAATAAATATTAATCTTTAGTCCCGATTTGGCCACCTAACCGGGACTAATTATGCCGGCCTATACACCGGCTCATTTCTTCCTCCCCGAGCCCGAGCCATTCCATTCAAACTCACTGCCTCTGTTCTTCAGCTTGCGTTGTTCTTGCTCTCTCCTCCTCCATTGGTGTTGCTCTTCGATTTTGGAGGTAACAAACTTAATTCTCTTATGTTTTATCAGTAGCTTATCTCATTTTGCGATGTAGATGTATGTGTAACTTTATATGTTGGACTTTATTATGATTTTATATGTTATTTTTAGCTCAAAATCACATGATGATTTGCATATATGTTTGCATAAACAAAAGTTAAATTAGTTCATCAAAATCACGCCTCGCTCGTCCTCGCTGGAGCACGCGTCATTCTCGTCCCCGACGGCTTACGTGATCTTAGAATTAGTTTTTCCATAAAATGAAAAACTTAGAAAATAGTTAGAAAATTATAAAAAATCCGTACTAGTTGAACTTGCGGACCGTGATCATCTCGGCGAGCATTTTCTCTGCCGAGCGGTAACGAATGTCAAGGAGGAGCTTTAATTCTACGAGGGAGAGCGGCAACGGTCGTGGAAGACCGTGTTCCCTTTCTCGTAGAATTGGAGCTCTTTCTTGGCCAAGTACGGTGCCGTCCGGTGGAGAAATACTCGCCGAGATGATCACGTAAGCAAGGTCAACTAGTACGGATGGTTATTTATTGAAACATGTTTTTGAGCTATGTGATTTCTATGTCATTTTTAGCTCAAAATCACATGATGATTTACAATAGTAAAATCACTTGATAGTTTGGTATTTTACTATTATACATAGTACATATTTCATGGTTTAGTTAGATAAATAGATAATTTTAGTTTTGTTTAAATATATTATTTTAGAAAATATGAAATTTATAGCAGTTTGTAAAAATAAGTATAGAAAGTAGATGACAACTGGTACCGGATCCTCGGCCTCTCGTTCGGTTGCGAAACGACTGAGGCCAGAACTCCCTCTCATTATCTGCGGCAAGTGTAAGCAGAAGATTGTGATGGAGTACCAAGTCAAGAGACAGGGACCCAACAAGGGTCGTGTTTTCTACAAGTGCCCGGATCGTGATGTGAGTTTCTCACGCATTTGATTATTATGGCTAATTGACCTGCTTTTCTTAAATATTTTTGACTAAATATTTTTTTGGCTTTAATTTCAGTGGGAGGGCAATGGATGCGATGGTTGGTACTGGGAGGAAGATTATGCTACATACGTGCAGAATTCGGCTACTGCTGATGAGGCAGTGAGCCAGCAGGAGAAGCTTATTGATATTCAACAGAAGAATGATTTGTCTGTTTTAATTGCGTACGATCACGAAATAATTATGTTATTGAAGTGCATTGTAGTTTTAGTTTGTTTAGTGATGGTTGGGATTGCTTACGTTGTAGCCAGGCTTAGTTAATTAATCAACCGTGTGTGTGTCATCTATGTTGTGTAATAAAATACTTAATTATGTTTAAGGTTTTCATAATTTATCGTGTAATATAGATTATGTCACGTCAATGGATGTACAATGCCGATCGCTGCTCCTAAGACTTTATTGAGGGCTTGCACTATTTCTTAGGTGTGGCCGAGACAAATAAGCGGGATGATTTCATGTGCTGTTCATGTGCCCTATGTAAGAATTTAAAGGAATATTCAAGCTCAATGAGTCTTCATTCACATTTGCTTAAGTCAGGTTTTATGTCAAACTATATATGTTGGACTAAGCATGGAGAAAGCAAGGTCATGATGGAAGAAGGTGAAGAAGAAGATTTAGACATTGATGACATTATTGCTCAGTATGGTGCCTTTGATGATACTACAATGGGGGAAGATGAAGAAGAGGTAGCGGTAGAAGATGATCTCGGTGATGCTCTTGGCGATGCCATTCGTGATGCACAACAAGAATGGGAAAGTGAAAAAGAGAAAGTTAAGTTCGAGCGCATGCTTGAGGATCATAGGAAGTTGCTATACCCGACGGCCGAAGAGGGGCAAAAAAAGCTGGGTACAACACTGGAATTGCTATAGTGGAAGGCAAAGAATGGTGTATCCGACAAGGCATTTGAGAATTTATTGAACCTCATAAAAAAGATGCTTCCGAAGCCAAATGAATTGCCCACCACTACGTACGAAGCAAAAAAGGTTGTCTGCCCTTTGGGATTAAAAATCCAGAAGATACATGCATGTCCTAATGACTGCATACTCTACCATGGCAATGAATACAAGAATTTGGATGAATGCCCGGTATGTAAAGCATCGCGGTATAAGATCAGGCGCGATGATCCTGGTGACGTCGAGGGTGAACAACGTCCTAGAAAAAAAATCCCTACCAAGATTATGTGGTATGCTCCTATAATACCACGCTTAAAACGTTTGTTTAGAAATAAAGACCATACAAAGTTGTTGCGGTGGTATAAAGAAGATCGTAAGGTAGACAATATGCTAAGACACCCAGCTGATGGGTCCCAGTGGAGAGCGATAGATAGGGAATTTCTAGAGTTTGCAAATGAGGCTAGAAACTTAAGGTTCGCCTCAAGTATAGATGGTATGAATCCTTTTGGAGAGCAGAGCACTAGTCATAGCACTTGGCCAGTTACTTTATGTATCTACAACCTTCCTCCATGGTTATGCATGAAGCGGAAGTTCATTATGATGCTGATCCTCATCCAAGGTCCGAGGCAACCTGGCAACGATATTGATGTCTATCTGAAGCCATTAGTTGAAGAACTTCTAGTTTTATAGAACAAATCAGGTGTACGTGTCTGGGATGAGTACAAACAAGAACACTTTGACCTACGAGCAATGTTGTTCGTAACAATCAATGATTGGCCTGCTTTAAGTAATCTTTCAGGTCAAACAAACAAAGGATATAATGCATACACACATTGTTTTGATGACCTTGACAGTATATATTTGAAAAGATGTCGAAAGGTCGTGTACCTTGGCCATCGTCGATTCCTTCCTTTGAATCACCAAGTAAGAAAGAAAGGGAAGCATTTTAAAGGTAAGCCAGACCACCGGAAGAAGCCTCATAACCGAACCGGGGAAGATGTACTCGCAATAGTTAAGGTTGTGAAAGTAGTATTTGAAAAGGGACAAGGCAGTGAATCTGTTCTCAAAGATGCTAAGGGACATGCACCCATGTGGAAGAAGTCCATCTTTTGAGAGCTACCCTATTAGCAAGTCCTAGAGGTTCGCAACGCAATCGACGTGATGCACCTGACAAAGAATCTTTGTGTGAACCTATTAGGATTCATGGGTGTGTACGGGAAGCCAAATGATTTACTTGAAGCACGCCAGGACTTGCAGGGCATGAAAGAACGAGACAACCTTCATCCAGAGAAGACAGATGATGGATATCATTACTTAAGTCCTGCTAGCTACACGCTTAGCAAAGAAGAGAGGGACAGTATGTTCGAATGTCTAAGCAGTATCAAGGTCCCATCGGGATTCTCCTCCAATATAAAGGGTATAATAAATGTGCCAGAGAAGAAATTCCTAAACTTAAAGTCCCACGACTGACACATGCTTATGACGCAATTGCTTTTAGTTGCTTTAAGAGGAATTCTACCTCCACATGTACGTCTAGCCACCGTGAAGCTATGTGCATTCCTCAATGCAATTTCTCAGAAGGCAATCAATCCAGTGGAACTAGCTACTCTACAGAATGATGTGGTTCAATGTCTTGTCAGCTTTGAGTTGGTGTTCCCTCCATCCTTCTTTAATATCATGACACACATCCTAGTTCATTTGGCGAAGGAGATTAGTATTCTTGGACCTGTGTTCTTACATAACATGTTCCCCTTCGAGAGGTTTATGGGAGTCTTGAAGAAATATGTGAAAGTCCGTTCTAAGCCTGAAGGAAGCATCGCCCAGGGCTATGGAACAGAGGAGATCATTGGGTTCTGTGTTGACTTTATTCCTGACCTTGCCCCGATTGGCGTTCCTGAATCACGACACGAGGGGAGACTCAGTGGTAAAGGAACTTTAGGGAAGAAAACATATATCGGCATGGAAGACGATTATTTCAACAAAGCACACTACACAGTTCTTCAGAACTCGTCATTGGTGCATCCGTACATCAAGATACATAAGGAGTTCTTACGATCCAAGTTTCTAGGGAAGACTGAAGCTTGGATTAGACGTCAGCACATGGAAAGTTTCAGTGGTTGGTTGCGAAAAGAATGTCAAGGCGATGACAATATTGATGAGCAACTGTATTTGTTGGCTAGGCAGCCATCGTGGCATATCCTCACGTACCAAGGGTACGAGATAAATGGGAATACATTTTACACAGTTGCCCAAGATAAAAGGAGCACCAATCAAAATAGTGGTGTTCG